TCTACGGTGCGACGACGGCATGGCTTTGTCGTGAATGGGAAAATCCGCGTTTTTTTGGCGCAGTCTCCGTCTTTCTGTCACTGAGCAAACATCTCCGTCGTCCATTCTCAAAAAGTCAAAAACGTTTATTCTTTATTGGTAATGACATCCAATCGAGATTGTATTGTTGAGGTGATTGAATTGTATGAAAGTTTACCAAGTTTATGGAAAGTGGTTGATGATTACCACGATAGAAATAAAAGAAATTCATCCTCAACCAGGTGGTCGACGTTTTCAAAACAAAGGATACAAATGCAACGAGAGATGCGGTATTGATAACCCCTAACAATGATCAGAAATCGTAGTAGAGAACTTAAGTTCTTTGTAGTTCATCCCTGTAGCGAGNATTACCACGATAGAAATAAAAGAAATTCATCCTCAACCAGTTGGTCGACGTTTTCAAAACAAAGGATACAAATGCAACGAGAGATGCGGTATTGATAACCCCTAACATTGATCAGAAATCGAAGTAGAGAACTTAATGTCTGTAGTTCATCCCTGTAGCGAGAAATCGTAATGTGGATGCCAACCTTTCATGTAGAGTGGTGATTTCTCTCATGACTATCTTTTATTTTCTAATCAAGCAGGTAACAAGCTGGAGGAAATGTAAATAAGACGTTAATCTTTTTTTTGTAAGGTTTTGGTTGAAATGAAAAAATAGTGTCACGAGGGGATTCGAATCCACGACATTCGCCTAAATACGCCGCAGCGCTAACCACTTGAGCTATCGTGACTTCGATCCACTCGGACACCAACTCTCCATCTCAACCTACAACCTTTCGAATGTTCTCTCTTTTTGCCATTTGTTTTGGTGTCGGAGAGGATCGAAGTCACGATAGCTCAAGTGGTAGAGCAGCAGCGTATTTATGATGCCATGGATTCAGATCCCGCTAGTGGCGCTAGCTTTTTCATTTCAACCAAAACCTTACAAAAATGATTAATTAATTGAAAGAAGTAATTTGGTCAGTAGAATACTAAATATAATGAGTAAATAAGACGTTTCATCCATCCTTAAATAGTTCCTCCAATCAGCGGGTTCAAGGGAAAAATCTTTTCAAATTGATGTGGTATTACGGCTTCTGTTCAGGAGCCACTTCTTACACCATTTCCTCTTCGATTTTTTGCTTTTAATATATAAATAAACAGAAAGCACAAGAGATTGTCATCCATTTTGAGAAGGTAATTCACTGTTTGACGTTCGGAGCGACTGGCTGTGGAGCGGTCGTGAATGCCCCCTCAAATTACAGGCAGTCCAAATGGAGCTGTACGGCTTGGCGCGGTTCAATTTGGAGTGAACGTGAATGGCCACCTTTAGTTGATCTAAGGACTGTGGAAAAGAAGAGTTCTTGCATGAACTTATACCCGAGAATGGTTTACCAAGCTCATGTCGCATGCGATTTAGCAATGTCATGAAAAGAGGGTTTGCTGGAAAAATCACAATATCCCATGGCTGTCGGCTCAAACACCACTCCAGTTTCTTGAAAAAAATCATTGTTCCAAAAAACTGTAAAATTGATGGCATTTTGCTTTGGAACTACGAAGATATTAATTACAAACTTTCTTCTAATGGATGTTTTATAAACTCTGCACTTCACTGAAAATATTTCAAAACGTGTGTGGTGATTAGTGATCGTTAATCGATAATTATTCATAAGTCGTGAGATGCGGTCTGGTGTGATAGGTTTCAGAAAAAACATTTTCTTTATCGTGCCAACGTTTCGATCTTTATTGAGATCATCTTCAGGGCCTGGGATTTATAAACATTGTTTACATTTAACACTGGCACTCTCAACACTACACGCAAGAATGGCACAATTACACACAAGACAAACACTTTGAGTGAGTAGAAATACTTTGATTGAATATAAAAAATATATTTTGCATTGTATAAATTCACTTTTCCACATCCTAAATATATTTGTTAAATGTAAACAATGTTTGTAAATCCCAGGCCCTGAAGATGATCTCAATAAAGATCGAAACGTTGGCATGATAAAGAAAATATTTTTCTGAAACCTATCACACCAGTCTCACGATTTCTGTATAAATATTTCAAAACTTTGGCTAATAAAAAAGATGTGTTTTAGCAGACAACTCTTTGGCACACTCCCTGTCGGATAAAGGAAAATCTAGGTCTTCATTGGAGCGAACTGATGCCTCATACAATCAAGCCTTTCATAAAATATTACTAGTCCATGGACCAGTTAATTACAAAAATAAAATAAAGAAACAATTTTTATCAATTCGACATGGCTGTGCAAGGAATTTTTGAAAGCTATCCTAAGGGGTGGTTTAAAAATGGCTAATGAATGACAGTTGATCATATTACGCTAAATTTTATTTTATATTAAAAACTGAAAGACATTTTTTTTGGCAAACGGAAATGTTTTACACGCGTTTACTATTTTCTTAAAATTACACAAAAATAAGAGGAAGAACGAACGAAGTGGTTACATTTTAATAATACGACTTAAAATTTGTATATAAAATACAAAAAAAGATAAAACAATGACGTGAAATTTTTTGAAAAATATCAAGTGCTTTAAATCCAACAGAAGTAATAAAAAATTTCAAAAAATTTCACAAAAACATGACTTTGGTACAATAATTAGGTAGGCTTTAAATTCATTCACAAACGATAGTCATAAAAAGAGAAAACATTTTTGTTAAAAGACGGAGAAGGTTGTCAAAAAGTACTGTAAACGCCTTTTTGATAAGTATGGCTTTCACGCAAAGAAAAATTAATATTCGATATTAACCGAGTATCCAGATCGATTTTTATTTTTATTTTTCGGTAGTCCTGGTTTCACGTCATCACCATGGATTGAAAAACACACATCGAAAGCATACAAATCGACAAACAAGCGTGAAACGATTTCCAGGAAAACGTCAAGGAGAATACAACTCAATAAAAGAAAAATTCTGTTCACACATGATACAATTCTACGTCAACGTGACAGGATTGATCCATTACGCAATTCAACGATAGAAAAGAATCAAAAAAATTTCCTTGACAAGGCAAACAGACGAAAGTGAAACGTGTCTCTTCTATAAAAAAGCTAAGAATTTCAGGACCCATAGATAATCGGTTATGCTGCTGTCTTACCTAATATAATGGAACGCCATTATTTTATTTAACGTGATTTGAATAAAAGTTAAATTTATAAATTATATGACAGAAATCTTTTAGGTTAAACTAGAGCAAAATGTATCGAAATCTAAGATATAGATAAATTTTAGGTTTTTTTAATAATTAAAATGAAGTCGACTAAATTGTTAACTTGGCGGAAAAACTTGTTTCCCTGTTTTATAATTGTTTTCACGTTCTTAGATCGGTGAAAAATTTTAAGATTTAAAAAAACTTTCTTTAAAACGTTTATAATATTATATATTTTTCACATATTTTTATATGTCTACAATCGATATGACTTTTTTAAATACTTTTAACAGATAATCTCTCATACAAATTACATTTAAGATTAAATTCACTAATTTTCGTGGTCCGCTTGACCAATTAATACCTTTCAATGAATTAAGGTTTTTAATTGAGATAAAAAAGTCAGTGTCACGAGCGGGATTCGAACCCACGACCTTCGGCTGGATACGCCCCTACTCTACCACTCCTCTACTCTATCGTGATCTCGATCCATTCGGACACCAACTTCCCATCACAACCCCACCTTTTGAATTTTGCCTCCTTTATGCCATTTTTCAAAATTCAATAGGTGGGGTTGAGATGGGAAGTTAGTGTTCGAGTGGATCGAAGTCACGATAGCTCAAGTGGTAGAGCAGCGGCGTAACTAGCCGAAGGTCGTGGGTTCGAATCACGCTCGTGACACTAACTTTTTTATCTCAACTAAAAACCTTATTAATTGAAATTTAAGAGTAAGATATTTATTTAGCCTTGAGTTTTGGAAGTTGAGGATTAAGTTACTTGATTGTCAGGTATATTTAAAATTATATTATAACTATTCAGAAATCGTGAGATGCGGTCTGGTGTGATGTAGGTTTCAGAAAAACATTTTCTTTATCGTGCCAACGTTTCGATCTTTATTGAGATCATCTTCAGGGCCTGGGATTTACAAACATTGTTTACATTTAACACTGGCACTCTCAACACTACACGCAAGAATGGCACAATTACACACAAGACAAACACTTTGAGTGAGTAGAAATACTTTGATTGAATATAAAAAATATATTTTGCATTGTATAAATTCACTTTTCCACATCCTAAATATATTTGTTAAATGTAAACAATGTTTGTAAATCTCAGGCCCTGAAGATGATCTCAATAAAGATCGAAACGATGGCACGATAAAGAAAATGTTTTTCTGAAACCTACATCACACCAGACCGCATCTCACGATTTCTGAATAATTATCGATTAACGGTCACTAATCACCACACATTATATTATAACTCTCTTTCGAAAAAATAGGTTTTTCTTCCAATAAAAAAAATCGTCCTCCAATTTAATAAAATTCCTTTGTAGAAATCGCAAGTCAGTCTTGTTTTTCTTTTAGAAAGCTCGGACTGATTGGAAGCGAGGTGTGCAGGTAAAAGTCGTCTGTTCAATTCCTTTCGGCTTTTTACGACTTCGCATTGGATAACGAGACGTCGTATCCAGCCGGAATCCAAAAGTTAACGGCAACCTCGAAACCAGTCCGACGAAAGCTCTTAATCAATCGGCGGCAGGCGAAAGAAGAACCGGAGGAACCGGCAATTTGAAGCATCCTTCCGATATAGATTAGCATAACGTCTATTTTTAAGAGATGAGAACACACCCCCTATCTTGAAATATCCGTGGACATTCCGGCATGCCATTTGCATCTTATCTCTGAGGTCTGTGGGAACGCACTTTCCGTACTCCGGAAATAGGTGTACGGGATAAACATATTTTCTTTTTATCCCATTCCTTTCGATTTAAGACAAACAAATAAAATAGAAGATATGACACGTGCAACCAATATTTAAGAACGATGCAGAGATATGATTATATTTGATGCTGGTTGTTGGTCTGCGAGTCGGGAACTCATGCTGAACCGGCATTGAACCGCTCAAACGCGTTTCAGCAATGCGCCGTGTTCAGTGAGGAACTGAAGGAACCAGTCAGTTCAACAAACCCGCGAGTGATGACGGATCCAATAAGTGATGCAATGCCGGTTCAGCATGAATTCTGATTATCCTAGGCCGATATCTTGTCGAGGTCGAAATACTGGGCGAAACAGAGCGAGAACTAAGATGATCAAACTGCAGTTGTTTGTCCATAACATTTATAATACATACAGATTGTTGAATAATCTTGAAAATATTCGTGGCTAAATTGCGATAAAAGGTAAATACTGAACATATAATTATGTCTACTCGAAATAACTTCAGAATATGACGGCTAACTTTCTTTAAAATCAACGAGGTTCATGATTTTTTGTTGTTTTAATCTTTTGAACAAATCGATTGATCAATGTTGCAATTTATTCACATAATAATCTAAATATTTCAGAATTTAAGGACTAACCTGTTTGTCATTTATTTTAGAATTATTATCAGGAATATCCTTTTTTCATAACTTGAGCATGCATAAACCTAAGGCAATCAAGACAACACTTAACCATACAAGAACCAAAAAAAAAAAATCTACAGTGACATCTCTGGGAAATTACTCCGTACTACGCATCAACTTCTGGAAATCTTGGACATTACTTCGTTTGGCATGTTCTTCTTGAAGAGGACTACATCTATTCATCTAGAAATCATCCACAACAGTACAGGTATTATGGCCAATTTGTTGGGCGCTGGTCCAGAAGCAGCACCACGACCTCAGGTAGCAGCTGCGGCTATCACTCAGGCAGCCAAATGCTTTGCCACCGATAGCTCATGTACATTATCAACCACCGCACCCTGCGCCTGCATCGAACATCCAGGATCACCATCACCATCCTCTGGAGCCTTGAAGCACTAAAAAACATCTTCAATCTTCAAGAAGCTCATCCGTCGAACTTGGATGTCGCTGCTGACAATCAGCTCTTCAAATCATCGATTTCATCGGAGAAAGACCGAAATCTATCCATGGGAATTGCCTGCCCATTCTCACTTTTCTTCGGGATCATCATTTTCCTGAGACTTCTGATGCCTTAATAGGAATTCTTGACCCACCTGAATTAAACTTAATATTGTATATGTGTATATGCAGTTAGTGTTACTGCATATACTGTGCTGTATATAACTTAGTTCACGATTTTCTTTTTTTCTTTGTATGCCTTGGTTGTACTTATAACATTGATTTCATAAAGCCCGCTATTTCTCCCCACCATTGGGACTAATAGAAAAACAAAGACCTATCTATGAGAGAAGATAGGGCTGACCGGCTCATTCTTGTTGAGAAAAAGAGGAGAAGAAAAACGTGGCTCTTATTAAGTTTTAAAATTGATTATAGATAAAGTGTTATCAGTTTGTTTTTAATTTTAATTTAGTTAAAGGTACATTGTACACAACATACACAGTGTTTCTTTTTGTGCATGCACAAGAATTTTGGTTTATTTTTTCCTATTTCGCATTTTTCTTATTCTTTATTGTAAGCATTAATCTTTTTATAATTTTCGATTAAGCATTGATCTTTTGTATCATTTATTGTTAGAATATATTTAGTTTAGATAATGTTTTTGTTCTATTTGTTCATGATTCACTGAGATACGATCCTCCGACTCTAAAAAAATCACATAATCACTACAGAACACGAATCTTTCTTTAGGGCCTCCGAGTGTATCCTTCAGGTCTTGATTCTCACAGGAGTAGGATCTAAGCCTGCATAGGCCATCACACTAACAGAGGACATGTTCCGTTTCTGCTGCTCCGACCAAACTCAGGGAATCGATTCTACTCTTCGTTTTGAGCAAAAAATGCTCAGGAGAAAATTTTCGGAAAGTTCCCTATTTTGAAGATATTCGTCAATTTAGGTTTTTTCAACTTTGCACTACCTTACCACATAAAAACGTTTACAGCTTCCAAAATGTTGAGACTACAACAAATCCAATTACACCATTTGAAAGCACGCTAAATTCGCTGCAAGATACTTCTTTGCAATAATCTGAATAACATAAAATGTTAGCCAATTTCAGTTGGAACATGTCAAAATTACAAAATTTAAAATTTTGGTCATGATTGCACGTTCTAATGAGGTAACAAAAAAATACCTACAACTTGTCAAATTTTACAAAAACTTCTTCATCTAATATGTTTTACGTTGATATATCCAAGTTTTTAAATAAGGTTCTAGTAGAGTTGAAAAATGACAATCAAATGTTCGAAAACGTGAGCTAAGGTAAATTTGAAGAGGGGGTAGAAATAAATCAATTAGCACTCGCCTTGTAAAATAAAATCTGTAACACATCTGTAATCTCACAAAAACCATACCAGAAAGCTTCATACAATAAAATGCAATGGTTCTTCCTGTAACAAGCACCTAACAACAAATGAGGAACTTTTCAGAAGAAATGCTCAAAGTGTTTTCCCTCTTCTCGAATGCACAACTGAGTTTCTGAAATTCTATCCCCCCTTCAAATTTACCTTAGCTTACGTTTTCGACCACTCAATTGTTATTTTTCAACTCTACTAGAACGTTATTTAAAAACCTGGACAAGTTTTTTGTAACCTCAGTAGAACGTGCAATCAGGGCCAAAATTTTAAATTTTGTCATTTTGATATGTTCCAACTGATATTGGCTAACATTTTATGTGTGGTGTAATTGGATTTGTTGTAGTGTCAACATTTTGGAAGTTGTAAGCGTTTTTATGTGGTAAGGTAGTGAAAAGTTGAAAAAACCTAAATTGACGAATATCTTCAAAATAGAGAACTTTCCGAAAATTTTCTCCTGAGCATTTTTTGCTCCAAACGAAGAGTAGAATCGATTCCCTGAGTTTCGTCAGAAGGAACTGGGACACCCAGTATATACTTCCGGCGTATTCAATGCCCAGTCAGCTGTTCTACTATCATTCCAGTCCTAACACGTCCCAGTTTTAGTAGTTATGTCGTTAGTTTCTGCAATGGTACTCTGGGGACATTTTTCCCCTGCCTCTCTTTCGAATGAAGTTCTGAGGACTTAAAAAAAGAGAATTTTTTTATACAGTTAGTCTTGTTAGTTTCGTTTGTCCCGGTTCGTTGGGTCGGCTGGTCGAAACCTAGCGAGAATTGGCGGACTAGAATGAAGCGAAAATTTTGTCCTCCTCAGATTGATATCACGGTACAGATATGTGATCTTTGAAATACCATCAGGACTTATAGCTTAACATTGCTTTTTAGGCAAAGAGATCCCTAATTTCGTGATTATTGCAAAGTTTTAGCACTTTTATTGTTTGCTTAAACTCCGAAATATAACTGATGGTGTTTCTTTTTTTATAACACAAGGTGGAATTTAGTTTTAAAAAAATTGTGAACAATGTGATCGTTTTTATTGTGCTGGACCATAACGAGCGAGAATCGGCGGTCCAGGATGACCGAAGTGATCAAAAGTTGTATTTTTTCACAGATTGTTGAGTGTCTGTTTTCTCCCCACTTAGATTGTCATCATTGATTATTGAAAGTTTTTATTTGTTTATTTCCAAAATATAAACCGTAGCAGCTAGTAGTTATTGGAACAAGTAGCTGAAGAATTTTTGGAGTAATTCTAACAAATTGATTTTCTATAACATTGATTTTGTTTCACAGAGCAAGGTGTCGTTTAAAATATTTGGGAACGGTTTGATTATTTTATTACATTATTCACAATTAAAATTCCATTGAGTATGCCGAGATTCGAACGCAGGACCGCTACCGTGGCAAAAACGTGTCTGACAGCTGAAATTCTGGACGACCGCGGTCCCCTAATTAGTTAATTTTCCATTTCAGCAGTATTTTTGATTTATTATAAAAAAAATTGTACTTTAGTTTGGAAATATTTTTCAAGTTTGTTCATTCCTGCTGATATCTATACGAATGAGAGCGATAATAATTAGGTCCAGATTATAAGAAAATAATCATTTTCACATTATAATTTTACCAATTTTTTAAATTTCTACAAAATTTAGTTAAACCTGTTTAAACTTCCATGCCAGTAAATATATTTGGGATTTACACTTCTTCATCAGAAAAATTGCCTTGCGGACAGACGATGTATATCTAACAGACTGGGATCTGGTGATTATGGAAGTGGTAGCTGAATATTGCCGTAATTTGTCCTACCTTTAGTCTTTTCTCTGTTGCAAAATCTTATGTTTTAATTTGTTAAAAAAAATATTTAAAACTCTTTGTATATCATATCTTTGTATATCAGTACACGTGCCACCCACCACGGTTTAATCTTATATTACTGTTTTAATGATTTTATCAATTTAATAATAAAAAAGTCTACCTGGTCTATGGATTGCTTTTTCTGCTCCTGCTTCAAGTCGATGATAAAATGAGACGATATCTTCCTGTTGTCCTGGACCGGGGAGTTGGTGAGACTCCTGACTCCTGTCTTTGTGATGGAATCCTCCCTCCCCAACCCCTCCATGTACGGCTCCAGGAATGCATCCCCTCTGGAAAAAGAGAGAAGATCAATTACAAATCCTGACGGATATGCCGCTCGACTATTAGATTAAAACTATAAATTTCCTCCCGGATGCCGACCCACCGTTTATGCCCGCGGGCTTCGGACTCGTTTTAAAGGCCTAATGGCCTCGTAAAGCGAATTTATATGTACCGATGTCGGACATTTCGGGAGGGACGAAACGCTGCAGGCCTATTGTTCAAGTAGAACAAGATGAAGTACGCCCGAATGAAATAATCATGTACCAGTATTAAAATATCCACCACTGCAAAATTAGATGGCAATTAAACATGAATTAAAACATTTCAAGAAGATGATTATAAACGCGGGATACTGAAATTTGAAGGGATGGGATGTCTGTTAATAATTGATTATTGATTGAACTAGATTCATAAACGAAACTGGGACAAATTAACAAAAAAAATTAATGATTTATTTTATAGGCCAAACAGACGCCAACACCCTTAGAAAAAATTTAGTTCATTCTCTCTCTCTCGCTCTCTCTCTCGCTCTCTCTCTCCCTCCCTCCCTCCCTCTCTCTCTCCCCTCCCCCTCTCTCTATCACTCTCTCTCTCTCTCTCTCTTCATTTACTACTACCATTTCTACATTTCTAACATCCATTCACCTTCACTTTCTACATGTCTTTCTTTTTTCGTTTGTCTATATAATCACAATTTGTCTTTGTACTTCTCCCATTTACTCTTCACTCACCTTTTCTTCCTCAATGTCGCATATTACTGCTATTATTTTGTCTTTCTCTGTTACTCTTTGTTATTCAATATATATATCTCCCTTCTTTATTCAACTTTTACTTTATCTTTACTATTTCTTTCTCCTTTTCCCTCTTTAGTGTTTCTTTCTCTTGCTTTCATTACCTCTCTCTTTCTTTTTCTTTTTCTATTTCTTTCTCCATCTTCTAACTCTCTCTAATTAACTTTTTTCGCGATAATTTCGATCAATCACTTTTCCATTTTTTATACTCTACTGCCAATTTGTCTTTCATTCTCCGTTTATCTTTTATTTCTCTTCTTTCACTCCTTCTCTCTTCTTATTTTTCGCAAATTACTTTTCCTCTTCTATCTTTCTCTATCCCTTACTTTCTTACCACTACACACATTATTACACATTATTCGCTACATGCTAGCACACCATCAAAAAAGATTAAACGTAACAGTAAAACTACTTCTAATAGAAAACAAACAGAGGGGAAAAGTCTTAATGGTAAAGTGACAAAAAATCGGATATAATAAAGTCATATAATATATAAAGGAAATTGAGTGAATGAATTGAAGGGGTCAAAAATTGAATTCCATAATTAGGTCTAATCTATATTTCCAGGCGTGGCGGACGTACAGAGTGAGCGCCCGTGGATCTGGGCCATCCAACAGATTTAACAGTGCTTCTAGAGAGGGTAAAAGATCCCAAGTGCTGCAACGTGACCTCGCCCAGTATTGTACATTCGGCCATAAAATGCAGTGTTGTTTCCACAGATTGAGAATTGCAAAGGGCACATAACCCCTCCTTGGTCCAAAGTGCAGAGTTTAAGTTAAGGACCTCGCAACGGGTTTTTAGTAGTCATCTTAAGTTTGAAAGGATAAGGGAATTAAGGTTCTCTCTCTATAGATTAAATAAGGTGTGGGGGTGAGACAGGTCTTTGAATAAGGAAAAGTTAAGCGAGGACTGAGCTCGGAGTAAGGAATCGTCCCGATGCCGTTCCTTGAATCTAGATAGCAGATTTAAAAAGAGAGCTGGCCAATCAGCAAGGTTTTCGTAGTTGGGACAGGATACTTCAAATCTCTTAAAGAGCGTAAGCCATTGAGCATACCAGGCGGTATTCATGACTTCGATCACAGTTATTTTTGCCAATTTTATGTAAGGGGAATTCAAAATTTTGAAAATAAATGAAAAGTGAAGTTTGAAGGTGTATACGTAAATCAGGTCAGTGGACGTTTCTAAATAAATCATGGAGTTTGGGGAGTTAGGAAGAGCAAATAACTTGAATAAAAAATCTTTGAATTTTCTCGTCTTCTTCATATTGTTGATAGCCCCATATCTGGCAACCGTAACAGATGATTGACCGACATATCGAGTTGAATACATTCACGTGGATGGAAACCACTTCCTGTTTCATCAATGGGGCCCAGGTTTTACAGAGAGCAAGCTTAGCATATGATATTTTCTTTTTCAAATGGTTTGACGCTGACGCTTTGACGTTGCTGGCCAATCAGCAAGGTTTTCGTAGTTGGGACAGGTTACTTCAAATCTCTGAAAGAGCGTAAGCCATTGAGCATACCAGGCGGTCTTATTCATGACTTCGATCGCAGATATTTGTGGGTTTTTTTCTGTTCTTAGATCTGATTTTACATGGCCGGAAAAAATCCAATAGCAAATCAGGGAATCGTTCTTAGTACCGGATGTGTAGACGGCGAAGATCAATAATAATACTGATCCTTAACCGAAAAATATCCGCGTTGAAAACGATATTTGCCTAGACAGGAGCAGTTTCAAATAATTGTATGTTGATATAGACATCTAACTTGCGCGTGTCGAGTACGATCTCGACGATGATGAGCTGATGAGGGTTGTCTGTCACAGGAAGACGTCTGCGTACCAAGGGTTATTTCATACTCAATTAAACTTGTTTAAAAGGAAAAACAAAGCAAAACCTGGCAAGGGATCCGGTTTGACTGCTGTTAATTACAACAGAGGTGTATTGTTGTTTTAAAACAATACGGCCGAACGCCTGGAATGAAGAAATCATCGAATAAAGGGTTGGTACCCCTCCTGAGCGAGATCCGGATCAAAACTTCAGTCCCAATAATCCTCGAAAGCATTTAGCTGGAGGTGTCTCGAGAGTTCCTAACCAGAAACTTCCGAGGGTTTTCGGTAATTACCAAATTGTTTCTCGGGGTGAAAATCCTCTTAGTGGAGCGCCCTCACATTTCAAAAGGCCGGCCTGAGACAAGCGGAGTGATTAAGAGGTAACGATTCTGACGACTCCGCCTTCTGGATTCACTCACACGCTGTTTATCCTGGGGATAATCTCAGAGGGCGGTTCATAATTCACCTCCCTTTTCGAGCAGTTAACGACCGTTTTAATCCTCGAATCGTCTCGTCCGTTTTAAAAAAAAGTCTTTACCGACCTTAACGACCATTTCGAAACGTGGTTTCGGGGACGACTCACCCCTCTCGCTAGCCGAGGGAGATGTCCTGAGTAAAAATTAATTACGCTATACCTTTGATCCGCCTAGGGTGAATAAATTGAATGAATGACTTCACTGACTATCACCCTAGAAAGGCCGTGTTTTGAAACGGTTGGTTACCCTCAACTACCAAAATTACTTCGGCTAATTCGCAAGTAGCTCATATTAATACAAAGTAAAGTACTAAGGCTGTTAGAAACTTGAAGCTTAGTTAACACGGAATTCTAAATTAGAATATTGACACATTGAAACAGAAAACCACGAATAATCGAAAAGCATGTTTTTAGAACAATACAAAAAAAAAACGCTTTGAAAAACAGCAAAGATAAACACAAAAAAAAGGCATACTAACCGTTATTCCTCGGACTTATGTACATATATCAAACTTCTGGGGTGAAGTCTGGCATATATCGATCGAAACTTGAGGAGGCACGAAGCTCAAAAGCACATGTTTGCCCTTTCGAGATAATAGGAGGAAGGCCACGGTAAATTTTCATGTAGGGACAATTAAAGCGAGCTTAAGTCGATTAGGGCGTCTAAATAACGGCGATTAATTATTTTGAAGAAGCTATTATTTCCCAGCGTACCGACGAATTCATTTACAAGAGATCATTAATTTGCCACTTTCTAATTGGCAGAGGGATTGATGTTGGCAGTTGGATCAAAACTGATCTCTGGTACGCTTGTTTTCCCTTTTAGTCAGACGTGAGCACTTACACAAAAATATTTTCTGCCAACCCAAATCTTTCATTGATACTTACAATTATTTGCCCTATGGTATAGCAGTTCAATAAGATGGTTATTTTGGGGTGAGACGGAGAAGAAAGAAATCAACGTGAAATTATTTTCTAAATTCACTATTTCGTGGTCCGCTTGACCAATTAATACAAGACAGTTAATTAAGGTTTTTAGTTGAGATGAAAAAAAGTTAATGGCACGAGAGGGATTCGAACCCACGACCTTCGGCTAGATACGCCGCTGCTCTACCACGTGAGCTATCGTGACGTCGATCCTCTCGGACATCAACTCCCTTCGTGCCATTAACTTTTTTTTTCATCTCAACTAAAAACCTTAATTAATTGTCTTGTATTAATTTCTAAGTTCTTCTAAGTTTTCGTGGTCCGCTTGACCAATTAATATCTTTCAATTAATTAAGGTTTTTAGTTGAGATAAAAAAAAAGGCAAAAGGGAGGGAAAATTCAAAAGGTGGGGTTGAGATGGGGAGTTGATGTCCGAGTGGATCGAGGTCACGATAGCTCAAGTGGTAGAGCAGCGGCGTATCTAGCCGAAGGTCGTGGGTTCGAATCCCTCTCGTGCCATTAACTTTTTTTCATCTCAACTAAAAACCTTAATTAATTGTCTTATTTTCTAAAGTTGAATTTAGAGTGGAAAGCGAGAACAAGCGGACCAGAGTTTCTTATAAATGTGAAGGCCATCACGATGATTAATATGTGCACGCTTAAGTTCAGAACGTATTTCAATAAATATGAAGTTATGCTATTTTATGAGAGGAAGAAGAATGAAATTTTTGGAAAAGAAGCGCGAATAACTAAGGTCTGATGTTACACTGAGAGGACTCGAAACGTCCAAAGAAGACAATGGTGAAAATATGAAGGTAAGGGACTTTCTTCCGATAAGTATAACGTTATTACATTCTGTGAAAGGAATAAACAAAAAAAATTGATAAATAAGACCTTACACTGAGAAGAGATGGATACGCATATTATTAAGATGGAGAAAAACTTGATCCTAGATGCTTGTAAGCTTAACGAGCTGAAACGTACA